GAAATGTTTAAAATAATTAACTTATCACTCTTGTGCATAGACGAACATATACCGCCAAGTCTGTCCTTTGTGACCTATAAATATTTATATTTTTGTACTTGAAGAAGAACCTCAGGAATGCAAATAATTTAGAAAAATACTCATTGTATTATTAGGTAAGGAAGATGAATAGAAGCCGATATATGTTCATTTAAGCAACAGTTAGTGGTTTTAAAAGTAAGTAGTAGGCTAAGTGTATGAATGTATTGCTCACACGTATAACAAATTATTTAAAAAAAGAAACAAGCAAGGCTTACTGGTGACAGACACGACAATGATCCTCATGGGGAGTGAACCCCTCTCTAAGAACATCACCCCTGATAGGTCCAGTGGCTAGAAAAAGACCGCAGAGCCCCTTAAGCACTGCAATACGATCCCCAATCCCGACAAAGGGATATGCTGGATTTAAGGGGATCAGATGACATGGAAAAAGAGCAGCAGAAAGGACCACATCTGCACCTCCGGCTCCCGTTGGGCCCCCAGTCGGGTTGGCACCAGCAGCAGTAGCCGCCGCCAAGCTGAGCTGGACAAGGCTGGCTGCGGCAGCCTGTGCCGCAGGCTCGGCCTGCTTCACACTGGCCAGGTAAGTGGCCAAGAGATGCGGCCAAGTGTATTGATCAAGGAGTTGATGGAAAGCTAAATTAACGGGGTCCTTGCAATCAGCCGGCGACATAAGCGTCCCATTAGCCTCATCCTCACGTAACAGACTTTTAAGCAGGCAGATATGGCATTCAGCAAGTATGTTGGAATTCTCTTTGGCAACTAGCGCTGCTAAAAAGTCCTCAACGCGAAACGGAGATAAACGCAAAAGGCGACCATAACGACGTAATACCTCATACACTGAAAGAGCATCAAGCAGGCGATTACGAGGACAGAGTAGATCGTTTGCAGAATCTGGTAGATAGAGAGGCGGAGCTCGACGACGTAGATGAATAGCATCCATATTGACTATGCGATTAACTCTCTTAACCAAATCAAATGAACTAATTTTTTCAGGTTGAAACAGAGAGTTTAATGATATGTCAACAGAATCCAAAGGTACATTTAGGTCGATGTTGAATGTTGGCAATCCATCAGGTAAAAAGGCATTAGAATCAGCTACCGATCTAGTGACAGTTGACGAGGTGGTATCTGGCGAAGGAGGCGGAGGTAGATCATCAATTACTGAGCGCTTGACTAAATCGATTTCACAAATATCCTCCTCTTCTTGCTCCTCAACATCCTGATCGAGAGAATCCTGAGTGTAATTTCCTAGGCCTTCATTGTTTAACGAATTGGAAAAGTCTAACTCATAATCCATTGATGGCTGAAAAGAAATTAAGAAAAATCAATGAATACATACTAGATAATATTTAAATATACGCAAGTCTCTTAAAGTACCTGACTCCGATCACCCTCACGACATAAAGGAAGTTTTGAAAGTTGAGACCCGCCTTTATCACGCCAGGCCCAGGCCTCATCACTATCATTTTCGTCGGCATCAGTTAGTCCAGCAAGAGCAGCATAACCCCCAGGACGAGAAAGTGATGAAGCGCGACGTTTGGTGATTGCAAATTGATTAAACATTGCATCATGAATAGAACTGGCCTCTAAGCGCAACTTCGCAACAGGAGTTTGATAGAAGTATGGCTGTGAATTTTTTAATGATGGTCGACCTCTCTTGCCACGACCTCGAGCGCGTTGAGCTACGCGAGCTAAGGCTCTGGCTTCTTGGGCCTGTAATATGACAAAGTGTTATAAGAGCAAAATTTATTTAAAAATGAGTCCGAAACATACCCTCGATTTTCGCCACTCTTCTTCTGCATCTTCCCGCATTTTTTCTTCTTCTAACATTCTGAAGTATTCATCGTCATCAATAGCATCCTCAATTCCTGCCTCATCATGATCTTCTTCTTCTAACCATGGCTGGCTGGGATCTATGGGCCTTTTTCTCATACCATTTTTGCTACCCTTCGGACGCCCACGCTTTTTCTTATATGGGGAAACCGAAGATATATTACCTATAGGTTTACAGATTAAATATAAAATGTAGGGAAAATAAATTTATCGAAGATAAAGAAAAGTGCACTTATACTAACGTAGACAGACGGAACAGAACATATCTTAGGAATTTCAATCAATAAAAACTAAAGAAAACCACTAACTCGAGCTAGATGCCTTTTCAACTTCATTTCTTAGGAGCCTCTCATAGCGTATTATGTCTGATTGGTCGATCAGCTTCTGTTCAGCGTTCCCTTGCAACTGATCCCATGCAGATATTTCTGTTGGATTCAAAAAAACAATTTTAGTTTGCTTTTTTGATGCAGTCCAATTAATATTTTGGAATTTTTCTCGGCCGGGGGGGCCTTGAGGAGGCAGCTGACTCATTTAGGTCTGGCCAACCCCTGCCAAACTTTTTTTTCAAGGTCACAACAAATATTCCCAACAAGAAAACCAACGGATATTTTGAATAGCCAAAAAAGTTCAGTCTTAATACTTAAACAAAAAACAAATAAAACTAGAATAAAACTTAATTATTATTTATATGATCGGTTTTTTAACTTATGTTTTTATTATTTAAAATAGAATCTATTTTTTTATGTACGATTAAAAGTACGGTACACCTTTGATTCACTTGATAAAGTTCATATTAACTCAAGCATAAAATCTTTACTCAGGCTAATAAACAGCGCCTATATTTTTTCGCATCTTAAAAAATCATTAGAAATAATACTCTATTTCCTATTCTTATTGAAGCCGGCATGATCCTCTTATTGGCAAATGCAATGCAAATAAGTTTTTTGAATGGAAGGAACAGATTATTACTTTAAACTTTTTGAGATATTTTCTATGATTTAGGGGGAGCTATAACTTAATAATAATATTTATTTTTATCTTCATTGATATTGTTTCGCCAAATTTAAATTTAAACTTAATTTATCGATTTGCGTGATTACTTCAAAGTTAATTTTCTGAGTAAAGATACCATTAATTATAGATCACCATTTGTCTCTATAACAAAGGTCTATAGCTTTTACTCTAACGACCGATATTAAATACTTATAAAATTAAACGGTTCCTAAAGTAAACAAATACAAGAGGAATTATTTCTGATGAAGCAAAGGCTCTATTGTCTTGACGATTCTAGCTAAAACAAATTTTCAAAATAGATGAATTACTTACTCAGTAGAAAATCTTGATTTATAACTGTATGCTAAAATCAAAT